GAACCCCCGGGCACCCGGGCACCCGGCCCCGGCCACCGAAATCGGCCGCCCACCTCACCTCAGCTTTATATCCGCTAGGACCCCTACAGAGGCAAGCTCTGATTGGGGAACTTGGGCTCTTTTGTCTACTGGATGGGGCCTCTTTGAGTTTCGGAAGGGGCTCGGGCTTCCATCCGGTCCTTCCCCAGGATGCTTCCTCGGAGCGCCCCTCGCGCATCTAGGCTTCAGGCAAGCTTGGCCCAACAAGCGAGGGGCCCAGCTCCTCACCCCAGGTCTCGCGCCGCAGAACTCAGGCTGTGCGGTGTGTTTGCCATGTTTTTTGTGCACCGGTTCTGCCGTGGTTCTCTGGAGCCCCCCAGGGGCCTCCCGTGGGCGCTTTTCGGGCTTCGTGGGCGCGATGGGCCGACCGAGCTCTCAAGAGGGAGGCTGTGCAACTGTGGCTAAGATTTGGGTCGCCTGGGTGCAGTCTGGAGGTTATCTCGGTGCCCTTTTGGAGGCAGTCTGGGGCCGCCTCAGGGGCGGGCCACTAGGCCGACCTGTCGGTTGGGTCTTCTAGGGATTTTGATGGCCTCCTTTTGCTTTCAGGGCGGATGTCGGCGTCGTCTTGGCGCCTTGCTGGGTCATCTTGAGGGCCTCCTTTCTGGCCCTGAGGCAGAGAAAAGCGCCACAGAGGTAAACATAAGGGTACCGTCCTTAGAGCGTAGTGTGCCCTCCCTTCTACGAATAAGAGCGGGGTACGTCAGACACCCTGTAAGTTTGACAGCGGGGACACCGAACAGGAGTTCCTTGCACACTCGACGTGCGGTCATTACCTCGCAGCAGCAATAGTACGAGTAGTAGTCGGTGGTAATGGTTGTAGTAGTCGTAGTAATCGTAGTCGTATTAGTCGTAGTAGTAGCAGTAGTAGTAGTAGTAGTAGTAGTAGTAGTAGTAGTAGTAGTAGTAGTAATAGTAGTAGGAGGAGTAGAAGGAGGAGGAGGAGGAGGAGGAGCAGCAGTAGCAGTAGCAGTAGCAGTAGCAGTAGTAGAAGTAGTAGTAGTAGTAATAATAATAGTAGTAGTAGTTGTAGTAGAAGTAGTAGTAGTAGTAGTAGTAGTAGTAGTAGTAGTAGTAGTAGTAGGTAGTAGTAGTAGTAGTAGTAGTAGTAGTAGAGTAGTAGTAGTAGTAGTAGTAGTAGTAGTAGTAGTAGTAGTAGTAGTAGTAGTAGTTGTAGTAGTTGTAGTAGTAGTAGTAGTAGTAGTAGTAGTAATAGTAGTAGTACTAGTAGTAGTAGTAGTAGTAGTAGTAGTAGTAGTAGTAGTAGTAGTAGTGGTAGTCGTCGTGGTAGTAATAGTAGCAGAAATAGTAGTAGCAGTCGTAGTCGTCGCCGTAGTATTAGAAGAAGTAGTCGTAGCAGAAGTGATAGTAGTAGTATTAGTAGTCGTAGTAGTGGTAGTAGTAGTAGTAGTCGTAGCAGAAGTAGTAGTAGTAGTAGTAGTAGTAGTAGTAGTAGTGATAATCGTAGTAGTAGTCGGAGTCGCAATCGTAGGACAAATCGTACTAGTAGCGTTAGTGCTGGTAGTAATCGCCGTCGGCGTCGTAGTAGTCGTAGCCGTAGTCGCAGTGGTAGAAGCCGTAATAGCCGTATTGGTGGTAGTAGTAGTAGTATAGTAGTAGTAGTAGTAGTAGTAGTAGTAGTAGCACTATCCTAGTACCAGTAGTAGGTGTACTAGAGGTAGCAATAGTAGTCGAAGTGATAGCAGTAGTAGTAGTAGTAGTAGTAGTAGTAGTAATAATAGTAGTAGTATCTGTCGTCGTCGTAGTCGTCCCTTGTGTGGTTGTCGTGGTAGTAATTGTATTTGTAGTCGTAATAAGTAGTAGTAGTAGTAGTCGTAGTAGTAGTAGTACTAGTACTAGTACTAGTACTAGTACTAGTACTAGTACTAGCACTAGTACTAGTAGTAGGAGTACCAGTAGTAGTCGTAGGTTTTTATGTGTAGTAGTAACAGTCGAAAGCGAGTAGCATAAGTAGTTGTAGTAGTCGTCGTTGTTGTAGGCGTAGTAGGCGTTGTAGTAGTAGTAGTAGTAGTAGTAGTAGTAGTAGTAGTGGTGGTACGAGTAGTAGTAGTAGTAGCAGTAGTAGTAGTAGTAGTAGTCGTAGTAGTAGTAGTAGTAGTAGTAGAAGTAGCAGTAGTAGTAGTAGTCGTAGTAGTAGTAGTAGTAGTAGTAGTAGTAGTAGTAGTGGTAGTAGTCGTTGTAGGCGTGGTAGTAGTAGTAGTAGTAGTAGTAGTAGTAGTAGTAGTAGTAGTGGTGGTAGTAGTAGTAGTAGTAGTCGTAGTAGTAGTCGTCGTCCTCCTCGTCGTTGCCGTAGCAGTAGTCGTATCAGAAGTTGCAGTAGCAGAAGAAGTGATAGTAGTAGTAGTCGTAGTCGTAGCAGTAGTAGTGGTAGCAGGGATAGTATTAGTAGTAGCAGTAGTCGTAGCCGTAGTAGTCGTAGTAGTAGTAGTAGTAGTAGTAGTAGTAGTAGTAGTAGTAGTAGTAGTAGTAGTAGTAGTAATAGTGGCAGTAGCAGCAGTAGTACTAGTAGTAGTAGCAGCAGTAGAAGTAGTAGTCGTAGCAGTAGTAGTATTAGTACTAGTACCGTTTTTGTTGTAATGGTCCTATTAGAAGTAGTACTCGTGGCAATGGTTAGAGTCGTCGTGGCAGTAGGTACTTGCAGCAGCAGTAACACTCGTAGTAGTTCTTTTTTGAGCAGCACTCGCAGAACTGGGCAGAATGTAGGCTGTCTCATTGGATTCCGTTCTGGGGGGAATTCATCCCCAAGCACCCTCAGGATCCTATCATTCTTCAGGGCCCACAACAAGTTTCAAAGGCAATCCTGGTAATCTCTGGGTGCGTCGTCAGAAGGTCCGCAGGATCTCAACGGATCCGAATGGTTTTCCAAGGTGAACTCGGTAAGGGCCACGAGGAATGTTGATGAACCCTAGGAGCCCACGAGGACATCAACAGTTCTACATGGGCATTATTGTTTGCGAGTGCTGATGAGGTCCAAAGGATCCTCGGGGAATACTGAGGGCTTCCTAAGGGGCCTGATATGAAGGATATCGTTTGTTCATGGACACGGGAGTTCGGGGGTTTCGAATGGGAATATTCCAAACAGTCTTTCTCAAACAAGCCAATGGCCTTTTGGAAACCAGAGGATCCCGGATTTCAATTGCGATCCCGCGGTCGGAACAAGCGGGCCCTGTGGAAAGTAGAGGCCATCGGATTGCCATCGAGTCCCTGTTAATCTGTCTTTTTAAACGATTAGTAAGGTCTTCACCCGCTGCCGCCGGCCCCCTCTCCTATCATCATGGGATATATCAGAGTCGCGTCGGTGCGTCTTTGCGTTGCCTTGGCGCATCTTGGAGCATCATGCGGGGGCGGGTAGGACTCATCAGCGCATATTGAGACGTTGGCGTTATCCTAGGTGCCTTCGACCCATCCCGCCCTTGAACCTGGGTTGTGGTTCGGAGGCCTCTTGTAGATGTGGCCGGGTACGGTGGGGAGCCTGTCTGGGGCCTCTTGGAGGTGGGTGCTTCTTGGGGGCCTCTTGGGGCCTCGTGTGGTATATTCTGGGCCTCTTGAAGGCCTCTTGGGCGCGTATTGGGCGCCTCTTGGGGCCTCCTGGGGCCTCTTGGCGGCCCTTTGGGGCCTCCTGAGGGCTTCTCGGGGCACGAGAATCGAATGTCCAGTGCGAGGTTTGGGCCCCTCTTGGGGCCGTCTTGGGACCCTTTAGGGCCGTCTTGGGCCGTTTTGAGCGCTTCTTGGGCCATCTTGGAGCCTTTTTGGGCCGTCTTGGGGCTCTCTTGCAGGCGTTTTGGGCTGTCTTGGGGCGGTCTTGGGAGCTTCTTGAGCCATCTTGGAGCGTCGGAAAGCGGGTGAAAGAAAACCAACACTCTTGGACATAATTTCGTAAAGATCTGCGATGCTGGCCGCTTTGGGCTCTCTCGGGAGGCCTCTCGGGGCGCTCTTTGGTCCTCTTTGGGCCCTCGTAGGCCGTCTGTGAATCATCTTCAGGCGCTTTGGGGCACCCTTGGACTGGGCAGTGCGAATACGGCGTCAGTTGCAAAGGTTTGTGGCTTCGGGGACGCGATTTTTGTACAAGTTACAGGGGTTTGTTGCCTCGGGGACTCAACACTGGTATAGTTTCCGAGGGTGTGTGGCCTTACGGGCGCGAGCATTGCGTAACTTACGATGGATTCTTGCTTCGGGGGGCACGAATCTCAAGCATGCTCACCTGTCCCACGCCCCCCCGTGATTTCATAAAACGCGGTCTTGCGTGGTAACCGACTGGTTTGGGGCTCCCCCCCTCCCGCGGTTTTCCATAATTTTCATCAGGAAGCCGAAAGCAGGATTGTAGGGAGATTTGACATTGCAGCTGGTGCAGGGCGCAGCACACTTCGGCCTACAGCCTGGCGGCCCCACAAGAGGGATGGCGGATTCTTGTGGACATCAGAAGTGTGAGGATGTCAAATTTCAATTGGACTCATTTTTCGAGTGTAATGAGTTCGCGTTGCTCTGTTCGTGCGTGCCTTCGTCAAGTCAATATCAAATCCTGACCCTTACCCCGTGCAACTCCTGCGGGCGCGGCAAGGCATGCAGCAGTAGTTCGAAAGTCGCATTAGTTCTGGTAGCAGTCGTAGTAGCAGTCGTCGATGTACTCGTGGTAGAGCACGGAGCCATCATAGTGGTGGCTGCGCCAGCGACAGCACGAGGCGCCTATGAAGCCTCCACCTGGCGCCCACTGGGCGACTTCACCAGAGGCACTAACACGAGGCACCCAGGAAGCGCCAGCAGCCGCTTGCGGGGCGAAATCCCAGCAGACCTAGTCAACCACTTGGAGAGGAGCAAGAACCCCCTAGTGCAAGCATTGCTAGAGGCAAGAGGCATCTATACCCTGGCAAGAGGGGAGTACAAGTGGCAAGAGGCATCTTTACCCTCCCCAGCGTGCTAGATGCACGGTGGCGGATCTCTGCAAGCTGAGCATGAAGGATCTACCTCCGGGGCAGACTGACGCCCGCGTCGTGAGGGCGAAGAGGACGTCCCTGGAACTGATCTTGGGCATGCTGCAGGCTTCCGGCCCAGTGTTCCGGAACAGCGAGCCGCTCGTCGGCGTGTTGAAGAGTCACTTGTGTCTTTCCCTGATCAAAAACAGCGTGTCGCACCTCCCGAAGATATTCCAGCATTCACTTCACATCTTCGTGGTGCTAATTACGAGCTTCAAGGAACACCTTCGGACCGAGATCGGGGTCTTCATCGAACAGATCTTCTTGCGCATCCTCGAGAGCGGCAACTCGAATTTCAACCACAAGAACCGCGTGCTGCAGGTGTTCTACAAGCTCTGCACCGATGCGTCCACCGCTCTTGAGCTCTTTCTCAACTTCGACTGCGACCCTGACGAGAAGAACATTTTCGAGAGGATGGTCGACTGCCTGTCAAAGATAGCGCAGGGGAAGTACACCTCCATCGAGCACGTCAACCTGATACAGCCCCACCAGGAGGTCGAGCTCAAGGGCGTGGCCCTGGAGGCTCTGGTGAAGCTGATGGGCTCCATCGTCGACTGGGCGCGGCGCATGACGGAGGACCAGAAGCCGGTGGTCCTGGGAGAGGCTGCCCTCCGAGAGGAGCGGACCGGGGAGCCCGACAGCGACCCCGAGGAGGGCCCCGAGCCCCCGAAGGGCACGTCGTCGGCAGCGCTTCGCTCCCGGCCCAGGGGTGACGCCAGCCCCCGGCACAGCGTCACCCTTGCGTCCTCCATCGCTTCGCCCTCCATCGTCGAGCTGAAGCAGCGCAAGCTCGAGAGGCAGGTGGGCGTCAACCGCTTCAACATGAAGCCGAAGCGGGGCATCGAGTACCTGAAGCAGAACGGCTTCGTGGACGACGACCCGAAGGCCGTGGCGGAGCTCTTCATGGAGAAGGACCTCGGCTTCGACAAGACCGCGATCGGCGACTATCGAAGACGCCTACGGCGAATCACCGCCGCCCCCTGCTTTTTTGGAAGCGCCTATGTGGCCGAACGTTGAGGCCAGACCTGCCAAGCTATCGGACCATGTGTTCCCCGAATCGGTTTGGAAAGCCTTCGGGGAACACGTGGGCATCTTGAAGGTAATCTTGGCCGTCTGGAAGCCATTTTGACCCTTTCGGGCCTTCTTGGAGGACGTCTTGGAGGGCTCTTGGACCGTCTTGGAGGCCATCTTGAGCGTCTTGGAGACCCCTTGGGCCGTCTTGGGGGCCTCTTGGGGCCGTGTCTTGGGCCTCTTGGCCGATCTTTGGGGGCACTTGGGCCGTCTCGGGCCGTCGGAAGGCAAAAAAAAGCAAATGCCACAATCCTTCAAACACCCATGAGAAATCAATGATTTTTGCTTTTTCCGGCCTTCCTGGAGGCCCTCTTGGAGGCATCTTGGGCCTTCTTGGGCAATTTTAGGGTTGAGACTTCCTGGCCTCGTCAGTAAGCTCGCTGGGCAGAAAGGCCCAAACTATGCAAATCTTATTCGAAATGTACGAATTCAGATTACAAAACAGCGAACCCAAAACATAGCCCCTCACGAAATGCCCGTGGGCAGAGGTGCCACGAGGCGGCAGCTGCGCCGATGGGGCCAGCCGCAGCTGCGGCGACCCTATCGGCGCAGCTGCCGCCTCCCCCCGCGACCGCAACCAAACCCCGCCCCCCCCGCAACCACAACCAAACTCGCGGTATCCATGTGATCACCATCGCCACCATCTATATCCTCCCTCTCCTCCTCCTCTTTCTTTGCGTTGTCCTCCACCATGGCTGCGAGTCCTCCACATGCGTGTGCTAATGTGTATATTATCCCTTCCTGTTCGCTCCGAACCCGTATGGCATTTCGTTGTATACTTTTTATGCATTCACGATGGCCCCGCCATCATCCTCTCACAAGTATCGTCGCGCTCCGTAGGGTGCCTGGCGCGTTTTTCGCTGGTGCTGGTGACGTCAGTCTCGAGCGGGAGCCGAATCCCAGATCAAATTGTGAGGTTGTCTCCAGCGGGTGCGTCATAACAGAGTGAATTGCGAAGGAGTATCGGGCGCACCCCCCATCTCATCTGCGTGGGCCCATTCGAGGTTAAGAACTCATGGCGGCCACCAGAAGCGCCATAGGATTGAACGTGCGGGGCACTTTACGAATGTGTCTCTGGGGCTTGTTCGGAGAGCCTTGGCGGGGGGAGCTTCCGTAACCGTTTTGGCTCAAACAAGCCTTTCATTTTTGTTTGTTTCACAGCCTTCACTCATGTGTGAGTGCGGTTCGGGCCCTTGATGCGTGGCACGGGCGGTGACTGGCTGGAGCTGCGTCGCCAACTGTTGGATTCAGATCTCGGCGGAGAGTCGAGCAGCAGCGGCCCGTCAGAAGTCTTGTCAGGTTGGTCACTGTTCGGATCTCCGACCGACGATGACGTGGACGGCCCGCCCGAGGGCGCCGACGCCGCCGCCATAGCTGCTGATGACATGATCGTCGAAGCCCCGCCCGTGGATGCCATAGTCGAGGTCCCACCCGCTTAAAGCGGGCGCGGCCGTCCACGTCGGAGAACCGTGAACGCTGTGCTCGCAGATGTGATGACACACCACGGCGGCATCTTGGCGCCGCCAGGGTCTGGGGCGCAGCAGCTCGAGAGCCAGGTCGACCCCGTCGACGGCGGACCCGAGGACAGCATCGGCGGCGCAGCTCCAGCCAATATTAACCCTTTCGTGGTTTCAGATGCAGAGTCGTTCAGACGCCTGGTGTTAGAGGTGGGCGATGCAATCGCCAACAACATAAGTTTAGACGGGTTGTTGGACCAGACGCACATGGAGATCGGTGAGTATGTATTGAGAGAAAAAACAACTATGATGTCAGCCTCTGCATCTGCACACATGTTTGGCATATCATTGAACGCGTTTCAAAGTGTAGAAGAGAGAACGGCTGCCGCTGCTGTGTTGTACGATCGCCACTCCGTCGTGAGATTGATGGAGCATGTGTACGATACTTGTATTGCTGGGGGCGCCGTAGGCCTGGTCTTCACAGAGGCCGTTCGCTCAGATGAGGCCCAGTTGCCTGCGAGGGGCGCCACGGGGTCGAACGACGAAGGCAATATATACAACGACTTGCCCGACGATGCTGACGAGAGGGCGAAACTGGTCAACACCGAATGGAACTATGGCATGTTGTTTGTGAAGCGGGGCAGCGGCGGCCAACCTTCCTCATACGTCAGCTTCTCATTCAGTCTCTGCACCCCTGTTCAAGTGGTTTCGAATACAACTGGAGAATGTTATTACGCCGTGCTGCACCAGACCCGCCTGGCCGACGCAGACCGCATCGCTCAGAAGTTCGCCCGCCACCAGAGGAATGCGACCACAGACGGAGACAGGGCGTTCATCAGAGCTGAGCGTCACCGCTCATGTGTCTACCCCGACATGCACTTGCTACATAAGCTGTGTTGCGTCCATAGGGCGTCAAATTGCAAGAAGGAGCCATTCAAGAAAAAAGTGCCCAGAGAAATTGAGTTCTACACCAATCTCGTCCTTGTGATGCGCAGGGCCTACAACAGCAACACTTTTCGGAGAGAGGTTAAGAAACTTATACTTGCGCCTGGTCGGTTCACTTACCTGGCGGAGGGGGCCTGCTTGCCAGTGCATGTGAAACGTCTCGAGCACCTCCTCGACCTTGCGGTGCCGCCCCGCACCCGCAAGAACGTGTGGAGGCGGAGCGTCATATGGGCTACGATCAACGGCGGCATCGACGGCTCCAGGCTCATTCACGTTGCGAACTCCCCCAACGGATGCAGATCTGAAGAACGAGTTCGGCAATTGTTGTCCCGCGATTTCCTCGCAGCCATATGTCCGCGGGCACCCCGTTCGTTTCCTTGTCGCCAGTGGAATGGGTGCGAAGAGATAGTGGAGTATTTCATTCTTTTGCAGGGCTTGGGAATATTTGCCGACGCATGGAGCAAGTGGATTGCCGTGTATTATCCCAGCGAGAAGAAGGGCGCACATCCGAGAGTTGACCTAGACGGCAAGGGCGCGCTCCAAGCGGTCCTGGACTCGAACCCAGCAGGCATGAGCGTGCCGCATCTCACCGTCGCAGCGCAGGAAGAGTTGAAAAAGCTCGAACAGAAGAGCCATAGGGGTACCGTCACGAAGCACTTAGCTACTATTGGCCCAGATGAAGTCCTATCCACTGCCGTCGTCGTGCTGAGAACAATGAACTTGCACCGCGATTTCATCGGTGGGCTGATCTACTCTTGTGGTGACCATAAGAAGTTGAAACAGAAAGCGTCAGCATCCCAGGCGTTGAAGGGCAACCATGGCCGCACCTTCATGTATCAAGTTCTGGAGGCTTACGATGTGGAGTTGGAGACTCGTCTGGTTGACAACGCTTTCTTTCTGATGTCAGACTCCGCTCATTGGGAGAGCATCCCGCTGCGATGCAGGACTCTGAGGTTGCAGTGCACTGCGTTCCGCTTGCTATCTCAGGCCGTCTGCACGACATCACTTATCAAGTTGGAGAAAACATGGTATCCGAATAAAACGTTTGCTGGTATCCGCAGCGACGATGCCATGCAGGCGGCTCTCGACGAGAAGGATTGCTTGCTCGACCCCTGGTCGCTGCAGTTCTGCAGGCACCACAGGCACGGGGTCATCGCAGACGCGCGGCATGACTTGATGCACGTGGCTAGCTTGCTCCATGAGGACACAGTGAAGCAGGAGTGGAGCCAAGGCGTCTTGCGACGCATCATCGCCTCACGATCGGTCAACACGTGGGTTGCCAGCCTTTCCCGCATCAACGTCGAATGGATCGGCCAAGGGTTCCGCAGGCTGGCGAGAGCCTTTCGGCAGCTTCGGACACCCAGCTCAAGCAGCCCTGCGGCCGACCAGCCATGCCAGCAACAAGCCCGCGCTGCTGGCGCCCCGAGCGCCCCGCGGAGGCGGAAGCTGCGGGCTGCCGACGTCTTCTTCAGTCGTGAGTGCGGGCAGGAAGGCAACGCACAGCCCAGCTTCTCGGGGATGTGGGCGAAGTTCCG